GCATGCAAGGCAAGCGCTCTACCACTGAGCCACCTTCCCAGCCCTCAAAGACTGTTTTATGTGGAGGAATCATTTAAGAGTTGGGAGCACTGCTCATTACAGAACTGTCTTTCTCTCAGGGCTAGGAAGGTGGCTCAGTGGTAGAGTGCTTGCCTAGCATGTATGAGGCCCTGAGTTCAAGTCTTCAGCACCACATAAGCAGAAAAAGCCAGAAGTGGCACTGTGGCTCAAGTGGCAGAGTGCCAGCTTTGAGCTGAAGAGCTGAGGGACAGTGCCCAGGTCCAGAGTTCAGGCCCCACAACTGGCAAAAAAAAAAAGGTCATTCTCTCACCCCATGTTGATGGTTCATGCTTATAATTCTTACTGCTCAGGAGGCTGGGATCTGATGATCACCATTCAAAGGCAGTTCAGGCAAGAAAATCTGTGAGACTCTGATTTCCAATTAACCACCAGTAAACCTGAAGTGGAACTGTGGCTCAAAGTAGTAGGGCGCTAGGCTTAAGCAAAAGAGCTCAGGGACAGTTAGGGACAGCACCTAGGCCCTGAGTTCAAGCCCTAAGACACACCTCCCCCCCCAAAAAAAAAAGTTATTCTCCCTACCTACGAACTCCCTCTGTGATCACTCATTTGTCAGGGTCTCTTCTCAAAACATACATGCAATTGTGGCTCTTCTCCCTGCTCATGTGGTCCCAGAATGAAGTCTAGTGATATACAGAGCCACGTATACCCTCGCCCTTGGTTCCGTACCCAGCCACCTCTTCCGATATCCTCTCCTCCCTGCCTTCTGCACCACTTCCTGGGTACAAGGGTACTCGGAGCAGCCTGAAAATACCCTCCTGGCATCTTTGCTGTTAGATCTCTTTCCCAATCCTCCCCCTCTTTACATCTGGCTGAAATGGCTTTTCCTCTCAGAAGATTCCCATAATACTCTTCTACCCTGAAATTCCCTAAGGCCCCAAACCCTAAGCTAAAATCTCAGTTCTGGTACTTAGTTTAGGTATGTTTCTTATGACTCTCAGCCCATTTTCTCATGGATAGAAATGGGAAGAACAATAGTTTTTACATCTTGTGTTGTTACAAAAATATTGAATGAAGTCAGTATAAAATA